CTCACCAACAGGTCAGAGGGGAAGATGAGGTCCAACGCAAGGGCAGCCTGCAGTAGTGGGCAGTGGGGAGGGGCCCTTGTTCGGACCTACCTGGCACCTGCATGTGCAGAAGTGGATCCCAGAAGTCAGAGAGATCTCAGCTCCCAGGGTAGAAGGCAGAGACATCTTGGTTCCAAAGAAAGAGGCAAAGAGATTTCAGCTCCAAGGGAAGAGAGACAGATTTCTGCTCCAAAGGTTTCTGCCCCACACACTCTGGGTGGGTCTTGCTAATGCCAAGAGCCCTGCCCTCCTATGCCCTGCCCTTTCAGAAGGGAATTATGATTTGCAAATCTGTGCCTCCTAAGGAAATGAATTAATTACTGGGCACTTGGTCTCTGGCCTGCTGCATCAGGCACTCTCAGGTCAGAGATTGGCTCAGTAAAATCCTGCTAACACCCCCATCTTCTGCTACGACCCCTCTCCCCATAGGCCCCTGACCCCACCTGAAAATGTTTGCTCCTGGAGGGCAGAGCCTTCATTTCTCTTTCACAGAGTGGTCTGTGCTTTCCCTCCACATGCACACACATGTCCGCAGACACACACATATGTGTGGGAGCCAGCATGGTGTAATGGGAAGCAAACCCGCTGCCCACTGACCTTAGATTCCTGGGTCCTGGGTTCAAATCCCATCCCTGACACTTATTAACACTGACACCCATAACAAGTCAGTCTCCCTGCCTGGGCCTCAGCTGGGGTGGGCAGGAAGGTCCTCCTAGGACCCCAAGCATGTGACAGGCTTTGCTCATTTATTACTGCTTCAGTAAGGTTTCATTCCCATTCACTGTGGGCCAGCCCCTGGGGTGCCAGCAAGCCTGGGTTCAAGATCACAGGGCCTTCATCTGAATCCTGGGAATGGGAACAGGGATGGAAGCAGGAAGACCCCTGTCCAATGGAGCATCAGACAGTTTGGGGCTGGGTGACCCTGGGCAAGTCACTTCACAGTTTCCCCTTCGGTCAAACAGCACAAAGCTTCCTTGGCTCTCTTGGATTCCACCTTTGCTGATGCTGGCGAGGTCTGTGGAGGAATGCACTCACCTGGGGATGGGACGAGGCTGTCTGGGTCCCAGGGGCCATTCTCCTGGATTCCAGGGGCTCTCCTAGGAATAGGCTTGGGTCCTCAGCAAGCTGAGCAGGGGAGAGTGAAGAATCTCAGGGTGGGAGAGTCCCTGACTTTGCCTTCTCTTCCTAGGGTGGATGCTGGAATGACAGCAAAGGCCATGGACCTGCCCCAGGGCAGCAGGGAGGGTCAGGCTGGGAAGTGAACTTCTTTTGAGCAGGGAGAGGACTTGCCTCCCACTTTAACTCCTGCTCTTTGGCTCATGCCCCTCCCCCATCCTCCTACAGAGACCAGGAGGCAGAAGGGGCTTGGGATCCCAGCTGGGAGGAGACCAGTCAGAGCCCCAATGGCTCCAGACCAGAGCTCTGCCTCCACCTGATAGGATGGGTGAAACAGGTGGGTCGGGCAACTGTGACCCATTGGTAAAACTGGGCATGGCCCCCTAGGACCTTTGGGATGTGGCAGGGAGCCTGGACAAGAAGCTCGGGCAACCCCCAGAGCCAAGACCTGGTGGGAGGCCTGCTCCTGGCAAAGCTGGAAGACAATCACCAGGAGGTCAGAGGGGGAAGATGATGCCCAATGGAAAGGGCAGCCAGCAGAAGTGGGGTGTGGGAAGGGGCCCTCCTTCAGACCTACCTGGCACCTGCAGGGCTGGCTCCCACAAGGCAGAGAGATCTCAGCTCCAGTGGAGGAAGGCAGAAGGAGATCTCATCTGCAGGAAACATGGGGAGATCTCTGTTCTGGGGGAAGAATGCAGAGAAATCTCAGCTTCTAGTGCTTCTGTTCCCAGCCCACCTGTTCTGGGTGGGTCTTCCTAACCCCAAGAGTCCCGCCCTGTCCTACTGTCCATCTTCTAGAGTGACCCCTCTTCTCCCCTATCCTCCTCCCAGGTTTCCAAACTTCACCCCAGGCAGAGAAGTCCACCAGGGCCACCACCCAACCCACCAGGCTGGTCATCTCTGGGTTCCCCTCCCCCATTACTCTACCACCTCTCTCCCTCCCACCTTTACCCTGCTCTGAGACTCCAACTCTTCTCAGCAGAATCTCCTGGTCTCCCCCTGCAACATTCATCTTCTTCCTCCAAAGGACATGCCCAGTCTACATCCCTCCCGGTTCTCCCAGCCATTCTCCCCTGATTCCCTCCCCCACCCCAGGCCCCCTTTCTTCTCTGCAGCCTGGGCCCAGACTTGCTCATCCTTACTTTTAACTCTTGTCCTTCCAACTGGAAACATTTACCGCCTTGGTCCATCTCCCTCCTTGACCTTCCATTGCCCCAATCCTAACACCCAGGTGCCTTCTGTTCTGTCATGTTTGTTTCCTAAGAGATGTTCCATGTCTGGCAGACAGCTGGATCCTAATGAGGAGCTGAGGCCAGGACATCAGGACACCTGGTGCCAGGCATATGTTACAGCTCATGTTACAAACTTTCTCTACTTATATAAACCTTCCCATCTGCCTCCAAGTCTAGGGGTTTGGCTGTTAGCAGATTAAGCAAGTGAAATCCACCCACTGAGAGGCCTGACTATTTCCCTCTTCACCCCTCCAAACCCGGGTTCTAATGGGAAGGGGAGAGGTGCAGAAATCAGGACATGCTGGTCCTGGGGCAAGATGATGGCAGGAAATGAGGAAAGAGGCCAGAGAAGGACTGAGTTGGGACTGCTGTTGGGGATGGAGGCAGTACAACACCCCAGCCCAGAATCCTTCTGGATCCTCCTGTTATTATTTTGTTTTTTGTTTTTTTACAAATGTAAAGACAGTCCCCACCCCCTGGGCCTCATCTGGCCATGGGGACTGGTGAGCAGGGAGGTGCTCTAAGGATGAAAACTGGAGTGTTTTTCCTTTTGTGGTCCAAAAATAGGCAGAGACTGGACTGTCCTTTAAGAAGCAGATCCACGGGCCTATCAACCCCACACCAAAGGAAAAACTCAGAGCTAGCAGTGGGAGGAGGGGAGGCAGGGGGACTAAGAAAAGACAGATTCCCAGGAGAACAGTTAGCATTTCTAAAGGTTTTGAAAGTCATTATCCCATCAGATCCCCCAACAAAGGCTAGGAGGCAAAAGGAAGGGGCTCCTTTGTATCTTACCAAAGAACACAAAAGGACCAGAGAGGATCTGGACTTTTGCACTAGGGAGTACTTGGGTGAATGCTGGGGGAAATCCAACGACCTGGGGGGAGTCACAATGGGTGGGAATAGCCCTATCCCCTCAGGGTCCATCCATAATTATGAGAAGGGGAGGGAGAGGAAACTGGAATTCCAGAATCCAGAAGGGGGGGGGAATGGGTAAAGCCAAAACAAATACTAATCCAAGTGAATGGAGGAAGGGTCAGAGATGGGAGAAGAGGCCATAACCCAACCCCCACACTCCCATTCCATCTGCAGTCTGGGGCTTAGCAATCAAAATGACTTGGATTTCAGGAAAGAGTTTCCACAGCACCTGTGATTAGCTAGTTATTGGAGGGCAGATCTGCCCTCTGGTCCTAGAGTCTATAGCACTTCTTGCAAATCCTGGCATGGATTAATTAAGAGCTGAATAAATGACCATTCATTCATTCATCTGGAGAGGGAAGGGGAATTGAGAAGCAACTTCCAGGTCCCCATTCATTTAAGAGGTAGCCTGAAATTTCCTGGCTCTGGGGACCCCAGACCCTGCCCTTTGGGCACAAAGAAGTAAAGCTGAGCATGGGGTTTGAGGCTCTTTCTGTAGCCCATCCTGTACCTGGAGAGCCTGGAACAGGAGAACTTCTCAAGGTCTTTCCCCTTATCTCGAAATGCCATAGAACTTGTACCAAAAGAATTGCCTTTGTCTCTCTTACCCTGTGTTCCCTATCCTGTTATTCATCTTCCTCATCCTCTGTCACAACCATTTTTCCTCATCCTGTAGGCAACCATCTTCCTCACCTTCTTTGTTCTTATCCTGTCCCTAATCTCCAGCCCCCAGAAGAAACCCTAAAAATCCATCATCACCCTACAGGCTGTGTAGCTTTCTATCTATGTCAGCCTGGGTCTTTTCCTATATGGGCTCCTTTGTTCAGTTCCTTGCTAACCTCAGGCCCCTGAAGCTTTGAAGAAGTAAAGCTCCCAATGGCTACAGAGAAGGTCTAAGTGAAATCTTTCACACCTGAAGCAGCTCTCCTAACTCTAAACCTCAACAGCATCACAGGCATCTAAGTAACCTGGGAAAGTTGGAGGAGGGGAGAAAGTTGGTGGTTGGATTAGAATTCCTTCAGGTCCCCATAATGTGTCTGAAGGCTTCTCCCAATTGAGCCTGGGCCCCAGCATGGGCTGGGGTGCTGTCCAAGGTAGGAGAGTAGCAGGGAATCAGGAAGCTGAGTGGGGACAGAGATGGTTTCACAGGCTGGAGTCCACTTTTCAAGGGGCCAGCTCTCAGAGGACCATGGGCTAGAGCCAGGAGGGGCCTCAGAGCTCCAAGTCCTCATTTTGCCTGGAGGAACAAAGCTCAGAGAGGTCAGTGACTGGCCCAGGGTGACAGGGGCATTAAGGAACAGCCAGGATTCCAGCCTGGAGCACAGATTTACACCAGTAGGGAATTCCAAGATCATTTCCTGACATCCTTCCAACTCTAAACGTTCCTGAGGCTTTTTTTTGAGCTCAGCTCCAGATCACAGGAATGCAGGTATGTTTGACACCTGAAAGGGGCTTAATTCCAGGTCACGAAATCCAGCCTCATTTTACAAATGAGAACACTGAGGTTCACTGATTTAGCAGCCAAGGTTAGGTGGGTAGAACCCTGGGCCTGGAGTCAGTTAGACCCCAGCTAAGAATCCTCCTTCTGACCTGTCCTACCTAAGAGTCTGGGAAAGTCACTGCAGCTCTCAGACTCATTCTCTTCATTTGTGAAATGGAGATAATAGCTCCTACCTGGCAGGGTTGTGAGGATCCCACGAGATCACACATATAATGCATGGTATGACCATGAGAAGGTAGTAGTGCCACCCGGGGGGAGCTCAATTCGAACCCAGATCTTAATTCCCTCTTCCCTCCTCTACCAGGGAGCCTCTCAGTAGGGGGAGAGGGCATAGGCCACTGGAGAGTTCCCTCTTGGGAGGAAGGGAGAAGGATTCTTGGGGAGGGGGACACAAACCAAAAAGGATTCTGAAAAATGGTCCCTTTCCTCCTCTCAAGGTGGCTTATGTACCAAAGGTGGTGGGAGGAGAGCAGATAGTTACAGGGTTTCTGAGACCAGGGTTTGGGAGAGAGGGTAGGGCACCTGAGACCCAGACTTACTTTCTCTGGCCAAAAATTCTGGGTTCTTCTATGTCTTCTCAGTCTGTCTAGAAAGAGTTTAGAAAAGACAGAAAGTGACTACTCCCACAATTTATATCTCTTTTCCCCCCACCCCCTAGCCTTCCTAGCCAGGCTAGGTTAACCTTGGCTCCTCCCCGCCCAGGTATCTGAGAATGAAGTGGGGGGAGGGCCTAATGTCCCAGGATAACTTCACCCAGCCTGGGTTAGTTGGGTGTCCTGGGGTCAGTGTTGCCCCGCCCTGTGCCCCAATAATACAGAGACGCCTCTAAGCAAAGATATCTCCTTCCTTTGAGCTGGGGAATCTGACCTCAGTTCAGGCCCCCCCCCCAACTGAATTGGATTTAGGACTTCCCAGAGATCTGTTATTTTTCTATGCCTGGGGGGAGGAGGCAAAGACCTTCAGCCTGCTACCCTCCCCACTTACCAGGCCCCCTTCTTTCCTACCAAGTAATAATGATTTTTAATCATTCACATTTATACTCCACGTTAGGCTCTCTCAATCACCTTTCAACAAAAAATATGTCACCTCACAGCTGGACAATTACAGCTGCAGGGGGAGGGGTCTGCCTGCCTCAAGGCTCTCCTCCTTCTTGTCCAGCCCTAAAGTCATTTTCCCAAAGTGCAGGTCTGACTGATGGGGTGCTTGAGTGGTAGTGTTTGGGTGCTTGGACTTAGACCCCAATTTCTCCCTAGACTCAGAAACACTATCTCTGACAGTTTCTCCCCAGTCCAAAGAAGCTGTGCTTAGCAATTACTCATGAGTAGGCCCCAGCAAAACCATTATCTCTTTCCCTGGTGTGGTTCCAAACAGCACCTAAAGGATCTATTAGCTTAAAATGGCTTTGCACTGGGTCATAAAGACATTCTTACCCACTACTGTACTGTTCTACCGCCCTACCTCATTATTAAGTAGGAGTCTCATATATTATAGCAAAATTTCCAGTTTCAAGGTACACACACCAATTCAAAAAGTTACATCTACATTCGTAAGTACTTAACATTAGCCTGTATGATTCCCTAAATATCTAACTAGAGTTTCCAATCAAACCTAATTACCTTTTTGTTGTTTCCCGATTCCCATAAACCTTTTCTCTTTCTGAGAGGAATGTCCACCAAGCTTTTGGAAGGTGTGTTTATATGGTTTTTTGCTTCTAAAAGGAAATAGGAAGAATGCAAACCACATCACCATGGTGCCAGATCATTTTCATAAAGTGTAACCATCCAGGGACCCCAAAATGTTCAACAATAACTAAAAGCCTCGGTTATTATTAGATAAATGGTTCTCTGTATATAGCTTCCTTGTTCAAATTCACTGTGAATCAAACAGACACAGTGAGAAAAATGATTATTCCAGCAGATATTGACTTTGGCAGGAATCTAAAACTACACCTTACCACCCTCTGGAGACCTAAAGACTGGGTGTTTCAGCTCCATGCTCCTGAAGGCAGAGTTAAGATGGCAGAGGGGGAGGAAGCAGTTGAGCCTAACTCACCACTCTGCTTTCCCCACAATACTCTAGAAAATGCACCAGCCTATACTGTGATTGGAAAAACCAAGAAAACGCCACATGGAATAATTTTTTTTCTAGCCCAGGGCACCTTAAGGAGACAGAAAGAGAGGTCTGGAGACAGAGTCTAGCTAGGAGCCTGCAGCATTACATTGCCCAGGGATGGAAAAGGGACTGAGACAGAGCACCAGGGCAGAAAGAGATCCATGGACAGAAGAATGGATTTACCTCCTAGGAGGTCCCAAAGGAAAGGATACATAGCCTCTTATGAGTGAGGTCAGTGTAGATCCCACCAAAGGTCCAATCCAGTCTAACCCAATAAACATTTCTTAAGCACCTCTTATGTGCCAGGCACTGTGCTAACTGCTGGGTATATGATTCAGGAAAAGTAAAACAAAAAGAAACACACAAAGCAAACCAGTCCCTGCCCTAAAGAATCTCACAGCCTCATGGAGGGAGACAACATGCAAAAAAAGAGGCAGGAAAGTGGGGGTGGGGCTATCCAGAAGAGGGACATCTGGTTCCATGGGCTTAAAACCAGGCAGAGCAGCAGATCCAGAGTATAGTCAGCGCAGATGTCCAGTTTCTGCCCTCTATCCAGGAAGGCATTGAGTGGACTTTGGGCTCCAGCCAGCAGTCCTCCAATCAGAGGGGAAACAAGGCATGAACAGGTTGTTCTAGTCAAGACTTGAGTTAACAGCCTGGTGGTGAATTAAGAGGTAATGAGCTGAGCTGGGCAGTGCCATCTTGTTCAGAGGAGAAGTTAGGCAGATAAAGCAGGTACAGAGTAGAGGTGATGCTGGAGAATCCAATTCTGAGATTCTGGCACTGTGTGATTTCTCAGAGATCACACTTCTCTCACAGCTGGGCTAGGCTGCCATACACTGCATAGCCTGGATGGCAGACCTTCATGAAGCTGGGGCCCAGGAAAAGCCTCAGGAGAAGCTGAAGAAAGCAGCCTTGGAGGCAGTGAGGAGAAGAGTGATGATCCATTCTGTGAAGGCAGGTACCATGAGGGAGAATCCCTTTGTGTTTTGGCCTTCCTCAGGGCCCAAATTTTGGGCCCCCATCGAGGTGGAGGAAGGACTGAGGGTGCTGACCCCATCTTATCTGCACTGTAGATTTCCATGCCCTACACACATTTGTGGCTTCATCTGTTCATGTGGAAGGGTCTTGACAGACCTTGGAAGGGGCACTGAGGCCTGACTGGGATGGGCCCATTGCCAACCCTCTTCCCCTGCACAGGGTCTCCAACCAAACATACTCACCAGTGTCCTGGGAGACTTGTCCTTTGCCCCTAAAATTTGGGTACTTGGTTCCTGGAATGACCCTTTACACCTTGCTCTCCCCAGGAGCCCCTCCTCCATCCAAACGTTGGCCATAGGGACATCACAATGTCTAAGGATTAAGAGGAGGATGGAGGTATGAGAGGCAGTTCAGTGGATAGAGCCCTGGACCTGGAGTCAGGAAGACCTGAGTTCAAATCCAGCCTCAGACACTTCCTACTTGGGTGATCCTGGACAAGTCACTTAAGCTCTGATTGCCTGACAAAATGGATTCACTGGCTCCACTCCAGAAGGAAATGGCAACCCAGTCCAGTAAAACCCCAAATGGGGTGGAGAAGGGTCAGATACAACTGAAATGAGTGAGCAACAACAACATTGAGGTCTGGAGGGTGGGAGTCTATTAGTGATCAGAAAAACACCCCCAGGCTTTTCTTTTGAGAGATGAGGCAAAGGAGGAAGTCCAAAGAGGGGAAACAATTTGTTGAGGATGACCCAGGCAGTGATCCTCAGAGCTGAGATTCTAACTCTAGTCTTCTGTGTCCAGATACGATGCCAACCCAAGTCCATAAGATGCCCCCTTCCCAAACACACCACACACCCACCTCTGCTGCATACCACTGGGATACAGGAAGCCTGGGTACAAGTTTATCTCTAAGACTTAACAGATGTGTGACCTTAGGGAATCTTCTCCATGGGCTCCCTCTCAGGTTCCCCAACCAGATAATGAAGGGCTTGGCTTGGATAATCCCAGAAAGTCTCTTTCTGGTCTAAAGCCTTCACTTCAACTCCTTTTCTACCTGTGGGACTCCCAGCCCTCCTATGGAGACATTCCAATTTGTATAGGACCATAAGTCAGGCCCTTGTCCTCCCTGACTCTGTTTCCCACGAGGACAATGGGGATCTTCTCCCTGCCTCCATCCCCGGATTCCTCAGTGGACATCAAGGTAAAAACTATAGAAAGGAAAAGTGTCTGCTGTGTTCATTCTCATTGACATTGTGATTACTCCACCTGTAGGAGCTCATAGTATCCTTGGATTGTGGGATGGCCTGCAGAACCTCCTAACCTGCCCAGTCTGTGGAAATTATCACAAGGATCCTATAACAATGTTTTCTGGCAACACTGTCTGTCAGTCCTGTTATCCACAAGAATGCCCACCTGCAGGCCTCAACTGGAGGATAAGAAGGATAGTGACCCTGTTCAAGGAGATGAAACCACTCCTGGAACAGCCCCAACCTGTCCCAGAGGGATGGTGCCCCAAGCATGATGAGCCCTTCACCCTCCTATGTCAAGAAGACAATCAAAGAATCTGCTATGTCTGCCAATACTCCTCCCTTCACAGTAAACATACCCTGACTAAATTAGAAGACCCAAAAGCAAGAGAAGGTAAGACAGACAACCACGTCAGCTTCTAGGGAGGGGTAAAGAAGGTCAAGTTTCCTATGCTGTTGCTTAGAGGAGCAGGAAGAAGACAGTGTGGGCTGTGGGGGTATTGATAAAAAAAAGTAGGGGTTCCCTGGATTGTGGGATCTCCCCATTTTATCTCCCAATCTGAGCCTTTGCCCAGGCTGTTCTCAGGACACACAGGGCATTCCCTCTATACCCCAGTTACTCAGAATCCTTGGCTTCTTTCTGGGCTCCAATTTGAAGCTGCCTCTCATGGGAAGCCTTCCTTAATTTTCTTCTCTCCCTCTCAATTGTTTAAGTCACTATTGGCTCACCCAAGGGATACCCGCAGCTCTGGAGGAATGTGCACCCTCAGCACCCCAGCACAGTGTTTGCTCTTTGGAGGCTACTCATCAGGGCTCTTTATGATCAGTTGTTCCTTTTTTCCCCCAAGCTTCCTGTGAAGAGGAGAATGAGATCTCCCTGCCACCTCCAGGCCACCATTGAATGCTCTTCCACTGGGTCTCCCAAGGGATAGCATGCAGGAACCCAAATCACTGTGTTCACCTCCATTGGCATCCTCCATGGAAAACAAAACTCAGTCCACCATGGAGGCTGTTCTAAGGAAGATAGCAGTGCCATGGGAAGAAATCCCCAAACTGGAGCTTCTTACCAGACTAGACTCTGAAATGCTGGTCCTTGCCTGCCCCCTGCAGGTCTCTCTCATTACTACCTGGAAGATCTTTTCTGGAGAAGTCATTTAATAAAGTTTCTGCTCTACTCTATTGGGCCTTGTGTACAGGTCCTGTGATTTGGCCCTGAGTGAGGTTTCATGGTAGGAAAGAGCATCCTGGGGTTGTTTCGGCCAAAGGATCGCGTGCTTCCTTGTCAGCGGCACTTACAACCAATTAAACTGAGTGTCGAGAACGTGGCTGGCATTTCTACCAAGGAAGACAGCCCAGAGCATACTGGGAGCTGAAGCTGGTGCTGCTGTATGTTGGGGGGTGGGGAAGATAGGGGCTCTCATGTTCTCCCCATTTAGTCCGGAACCCTGCCTTTCCTACCTTTTCCCTTCATATGTCCTGCTTTCTCCTGTGCCCTGGAGCACTTGAAGTATCCATTCACTTCTCCTGATGTCAAGACAAAATCTGCCTCTTTGCAGCTTCCCCCTCTTTATTGGGACATTGCTCTCTGAGTGGAGACAGCATCCCCATCCCTCTCCCTCACTATGGCCTTTCCAGTATTGGAAGAAACAAATCATGTCCCCACTAAGTCTTGTCTCCTTCAGAGACAAAAGCCCCATTCCCTTCACCAGTCCTCACAGAGCATGAACCTAACGCCCTTCTCCATTCTGTTTCCCCGCCTAGAGATGCCCACGGACCCATGACTATGCTGTTTTATTTGTGTCACCCCTCCAGATCTGGACACAGTACCCCAGAATCGGTAGGCCTATGGCAAAGCGTGATAGGACTGCAATGTGCCTTTGGATGGCAGAGAAACTAAAGAGTAGAGTTAAAGGGAGTAGCCAGACAAGAATATGACAATGATAACCCATGACTCCCACCTGACACTTGTATAAGACTCTCCTCCTTGGTGGAAGATGTCAGCTTCTTCACAGAATCTTTCCCTTCCTAAAGAGAGCCTGGAACTGCCTTTGAGCTGTCTCAAACCAGGAAGCTTTTTGTTTTTTATGTTTTTCTTTGTTTGTTTTTAGGCAATTGGGGTTAAGTGACTTGCCCAGGATCACACAACTAGTAAGTGTCAAGTGTTTGGTCTGATGCCGCATTTGAACTCGGGTCCTCCTGACTTCAGGGCCAGCACTCCATCCACTGGGCCACCTAGCTGCCCCCAGGAAGCTCTTTGAAGACAAAGAAACATGTCTTCTGTACATTTTTTTTTCTGGGGAGCCAGTTGTTAAATATATATAAATATACCACTGGAGGGAGGGAGACAGATTTTTACAGATCCATTTTGTTATAACTTCCTGGGGCACAGAGAAAACATTTATATTAAGAAACCACTAGGGCACTATATGAACCCTTACATGGTAAGGGTAAGCAAAGGAATGGGTTAAAAACTCTGCTCACCACATTATGCTAATACTATGACACTTCCTTGAGGAGCCCATTTCATTAACAAAACGAAATGGGGTCCTTTACTTCAATAGAAGGAAAGCAGAGACACACAAGTTAGACTTCTCTCCCCAAAGAATCAGCATCACACAGAGGTCTGTAATACAACCACAGAGGCAGCCAGTGAAGGAGCATTTATGAAAAACTTACTACATGCTAAAGCCTCTGCTAAACAGCAAGAATACTGCCAAAGGAGAAAAGGCAGTCCCTGCCGTCAGGGAGCTCCTACTTCACTGAGAGAGCCCACCTGTGAGGAAGTATTTACAACCAAGATATCTACAGGATGCAATGGAGAGAATTACCAGAAAGAAGCCATCAGAAGGAAGGGGGCATCAGGAAAGGCCTTTTGTAGAAAAGGGGTTTTAGGTTAGAGTTGAACCAAGCAAGAGAAGCCAGAAGAGGGTTCAGGCAGAAGAGTATCCAAGGCAAGGCGAGCACACAGTGACGATGCCCTGAGCCCAGAGGTGGAGTCACTCGCTCAAGAGAGAGCATGAACCATGTATGGCAGGCAATACTGTGTAAGGAGACTGTCCAGGTGGGGGGGGGAGGTTATGAAGGGATGTGATGGCAGAGCATTCTGTACTGGATCCTGAGGTTGATAGAGAACATCTGGGTTGGTTTCTTGGCTGGTTTTAGTAGGGAGGTGATATGATGGGACCTGAACTTTATGAAATGGCTTTGGTGGCTGAATGGAGAATGGATCGAACTGGGGAGAGAGCTGAGGCAGGCAGATACGCCAGCAGACCATTGCAATGGTTCAGATATATGGTGATGGGGCATAGGGTGAAGGAGAGGGTGAGGACTGAGAAAAGGCCCCTGGATTTGGTCATTAAGAGATCACTGGCAATTTGGATGAGACTGGAAGCCAGAGGGTAGGCAGTTTAGAAGAATGGGAATTAGTGTTAGTAAAGGGGCCTATAGCAGATGGCCTGGATTAGCAGGCTATTACAGTAGCCCAGGCCTGAGGTGGTGAGGACATGCACCAGGACAGAATGACTTAGGGAGAAGCAGCAAAAACGCTACTGTCACTGGATCACAGAGCACCTGGGGGTGGGGGGAGCAAGGTATAAAAAAAACTGGAAAGGCAGGATGGGGCCATCCATAGGTACCTGCTGTCACGTCTGGCAAAGTAATGACTACGCCTGTGTGGATAAGTTCCCGCTTACCTTGGCAGTATCCTTCCCAGAGGTGTACACATTGAGAATGAGGTTGACGCATGCATTGCCAGAGCCAGCTCAGTGTTTGGGAGGCTCTGAAGGAAAGTGTGGGACAGAAGAGGTATTAGACTGACTACCAAACTGAAGGTCCACAGAGCTGTTGTGCTGACCTCATTGTTGTATGTCTGTGAAACCCAGACACTATCCCAGCGCCATGCCAGGAAACTGAATCGCTTCCATTTGCATTGTGCTGGGAAGATTCTGAAGATCACCTGGCAGGATAAGATACCAGACCCTGAGGTCCTTTCTGAAACTAAACTGCCAAGCATTCAAAGTCTACTGCAGAGAGCTCAACTCCGACGGGCTGGCCACACTGTTTCAATGCCAAACTTATGTGTATCAAAGAGACCATTTTGTGGAGAACTCACACAGGGCAAGTGCTCACATAGTGGTCAGAAGAGGCGATACAACGACACCCTCAAGGTGTCTCTTAAGAGCTTTGGAATCGATTGTGCGACATGGGAGACGCTGGCACAGGATTGCCCTGCATGGCTTGCCCTCCTCAGAGAAGGTGCCGTGCTCCATGAGCAAAGCAGAATTGTAGTAGCTCAACAGAAATGCGGGACGCACAGATGTAGCACATCCGTCCCCAATGTTCACATGGACTATTTGTGCCTGACCTGTGGTAGTGGGTTCCAAACTGGTCCTGGTCTGATCAGTCACAGCCGGACGCCCCGTAACGTGACCCTAACATGGTGATGTCCTTTTGGGCCTCTGAGAACAAAGGATAACAACCACCAGACTTTTAATCTTAAAATAATGTTGTTGTTGTTTTTACTCCTGAGGCCACTGCCTGCCTCCTTAAGGAAAAGCTTACTGCTCAATTAGGAATCAGCTGTCATCATGTCTTTACCAAAGGAAATTAGGGATTGTCAGAGAGGGAGGGCCTTCCAGAGATGGCAGGACATCCAACACAAGGGTATAGAGAAAACAGGTAGAGCATAATCAATGAGGAAATTAAGGAGGCTCATGAGGCTGGTCCATCATGGTCTGTGAGGATCTACAGGCACTGCAGGTAGAAAGGCAGGTGAGGAATCCAAGGTGGATTCAGTCCCAAGGCAGCACCTGAGGATCGTGTGGCCTCAAGGCCCTAGGTCCCTCACCCCTAGATTAGGGAGTGAAGGGTTAAAATGACAGAAGAAGACAGGTTACATTTGCTCCTAGAAGTGATGGGAAGCCATTGGAATTTGTTGAGGGGAGTGAGGTTGGTTAAAATTTCACTTTAAGAAAAATACTTCATATTTGGTATTAGATGTAAAAATAAAAATGTAATGACAATTAATATTTTGTGTTTGCAGCCATGTGGATGAGAGAGTGGAGTATAGAGAGAGGAGTGAAGGAGAACAAGTAAGATCTTTTTGTGATAATCCAGCATAATGCTAACCAGAGTTTCAGCTAGGCTTGTGGCCTGTGAGTGCCGAGAAGGGGATGGAGAAAATAATAGGAAGATTTGAGAACTTACTGGACATGAGAGGTGAAAGGGAGTCAATGGAAGTATGTGGCTGCCCTTAACAAATGTAGGGAAATTTTGTATAAAAGTCAGTTTGGGGGAAATATGGATGATGTCTCAGACATGCTGAGTTTGAAATGCCTACAGCCCATCTAACTGGAAATGCCCACAAGCCCGTTGTTGCTGTAGGACCAAAGCTCGGAGAGACAAGAGCTAAATAGATAGATCTGGGATCCATCTACTGAGAGACGCTGATGAAACCGTGCTTCAGCCTCCTTCATGGGCATTGGAACCAATTATTGGCATCCACCCATTCTGCCAGGGGAAGTCTGCACATGCTTGGGTAGACATCCCCCACCTCACTGAGGGATTTGAGACCTGTTGGATACTGTCAGTGTGTGTTAGCCTGGCTTCACCAGGCTGTGGCTGCTGTACGTACCACAGCTTCCTGGAGCCCTAAGTGAAAAGAAGTTAAAAGAAGACTGGAAAGGAAGAAGGAGCCGAGCTAGAAGGGCTTTAAAACCTGAACCAAGGATTTCATGTTTGATCCTGGGGCCACCAAACTGTATCAGACAGGGTCAGAGTATGGTTAGAACAGATCTCCAGGACTCTTGACTTGTGAGCTCCTTCTAGTTTGGCGTGGTGCCATGAGTTGTCCTGATCTACCTCTAGCCACTGGAGGAGAATGCCTTAAAAAGCAGAATTGGCCAAATGGAAAGGAGACACAAAAGCTCAGTGAAGAAGATTGGAATTGGGTAATTGGAAGCTAATGATTCCATGACATGAAGGAACAATAAACAAAGTCAAAAGAATGAAAAAAAAAATACAAGAAAATGTGAAATATCAGAAAAAGAACTGAGCTAGAAAACAGATCAAAGAGAGATAATTTAAGAATTGAGGGACTACCTATGTAATCTTGCTTTTCTTCTCAACGAGGGGGAGAGTCAGGGAGGGAATTTGGAGCTCAAAAATTTTTTAAAGGAATGCTA